TCAACATAGTTCTAATTTTTTCGTTCAAATCGTACTCGATATATATCGAATGAAAGAAAATTCCGAAATTTTGAAAATGTGCGAAACTGTCGATATTGAACTTTACTTCGATATTTTAACGTAACGTCACATATGATGTATTCTATTTGAGGATTAATGTAAATTGTAATATAAATACATACTAGTGTCTAGTACTTATTATTTGCAAACTGATCCCTCGTGGACCAAAATTTGTTTTTGGAGAGCGGTACATTATATAAATGGGATCGATGCTTGGAGAAAATTCAACTTACATTAGTGTTAGTCTGCAAACTTTCGTCTTAAGGAGAAGTGTATTGTATAACTTGGCTGCAGACGTTTGCCTCCCTCCTAGGCATACTCTCGTAATACTATTGCCGCTTAGTCTGTGCTCGCGTAAATGAATAATATCTGATTAAAAAGCCCAGAGAAGGCGCACAACTTGGATTCTGTCTAGACACAATTGTATCAACGCGACAATCGCGAATATTTTAATGAATAAGTTCTCTATGAAAATAGAACTATATTCAATCTGTTATTCTAAAGGTACACATTCTATTAAAAACTTCACTTCGGCGTCATCAGGTTATTCCATAAGTAATTTCATGTTCGACTCCTGGACAAAAGAAAGCTTTAAAATTTTTAGAGAAGAGAATTTCAGTTTGAATCGATATGAAATACGTATATCTCGGAATAGATTTTCGTCGTTAATTATGGTAAAGGATATAAATGTGCATTCAGTATATCACATTTAATTTTAAAAAAACGTATAAATCCTTTTCCATTTATTAATGAATAATATACGTTTCATTTTAATAATATCTGAATTCCTTTCTTGAAAAATTACAAAAATTCTGACATTTAGCGTATTGTTTATATTTATCGAATGATATACTAGCTGTTATTTCTAATTCGTCCTTTGAAAAATTGTTAAAATTCTGATGCAAGGTATTCGACTGTTTCCCGATAGATTTAATTTCTTATCTTCTACAGCAGTATTTAGATTGGTATATATTTATCTGTGTGTTAAAGCGTAGAGAAGAGAATGGGCAAGGTAATAACATTTAATTACACTCTTTCCTTCTGTTTAATGTCGCCGTCAATATATGACCGTCCATTCGTATAACGAATAAATAGAATTAATTCCTCTTCGATTCATTAGTATTGATCATTACCACAACAACGTTTTATCACGTTTTGTACGTAATTATATGTTCCGACAGTTACCATTTAACGTTACTTTAAAATGCAGAGAAGAAAAGATTAGATGCTCATGGAATGGCTCCTGACAATTAAAGAGAGACTGGCCTATATTAAAAATTTTCTCGATTTTAACTCTGTAACTTTTTCACTGATGAAATCACTCTTCAACATTCTAATCTATTTGAATTCCCACGAATGATGATTTTTTTCACAATATATCACACATTTGCAACGAATCAGAATTGTTCAGTTTGACTTTGTTATTCAACATTTTCAGAAGCGAATCGTCAAGTCTTAATTAAAGAGACTATTTCGCGCGTTTCATCGATCTTGCCTTACTTTCGAACGAGACACTCATTGCGTGTGTAATGCTCGTGTATTTTTTTTTTTTTTTTTTTTTTTT